AAATTTATAAATATATATACATATAAATATATTATATATTAATATATATATATATATATATATGCATACATACATAATATATTCATACATACATACATAGATACAAATATATCACTCTGTGTGTGTGTGTGTATTTATGTATGTGATTTTGCTGATCAATTTTACACGTGCATCCTGCCACGCAAAATAAGTATGAAACAGTTTGAAGGTTACCCTCTTGAAAATAACTGAACTGAACTCGCTTACTACTCTTTGGAGTTTGTGGAGTGTCGTTCCTAATTCGCTCTGTGAGTCGGAAGGAGACTTGATTTCGTCTCGACTCATGCCGACTTCTTTGTTTGTATTCGAATCTTTGTTCAAACCGGCATCGCCGTTTATATCTGGAGTTATTATATCGATTGAAGATTGTGTCCCTGCGAGTATCATGAATAGAAGGTGGAAAAGAGATGCACAAAAAGAGAACCATCAGCATTTCAACTGGCTGAACAGTTTAATATGAACAAAGTTAAATCGTGCAGTCTAGTTCTTGGAAATGAAAATTACACTGACTCATCGATATGCATTCTCCCCAAAAACACCAATTTACAGGAGCGTAAAACCCGACCAAACCCCCATTACTGTCATTGTCGGTATTGTCCCAGTCGCAATTTGTAGGCAGAGGTACATTCTTTTTTAGCGGTATAACTTGTTTGTACAGTAAATTCGGCAGCAATTGAATTTGATTCGACGATGCGTTAAGTGTTTTTAAATTGGGAAGCTGTATTGAAGGAATATGGTCAATTGAGCCGGATACATATTTCACACGTATAAGTCAATGCATCACATCCTGACGACCTTTTTTATCAGGTGAAAATCGAGCGCTAACTTTGATAATTATATAAAAGAGTAGAAAACGCGGAAGAACATGGAAAATCTCTAAGCACTTACATAAAAGAGATCTTCCGGCAAGTATGTGAGATTGTTCTGAGCCACGTCGAGCAATCGTAAGCTTCTGAAATCTTCCATTCGAGGCAAGGACCATAGTTGGTTATGCCTCACCTGGTATTGGAAGGGTATTCGGTTTAGGTGTTAACCGGAAAGCATTGAAAGCATAATTATGCAGCAAAAGTACGTACCCAGACGAAAACCATACAGCGAATATAACTTGTTATGCGGAGAACTTGCCCTGAAAGTTTCTAATCGTGCTAGTGACGTAACGCTTTTAGGCAATTCCTTCAGTTGATTATTACACAGGTTCAAGCCTTTCAGAGCAGTTGCTTTGTCAAATACATCTGGTAATGTTTGTAACTTATTTCGAGACAGATTGATCTCTGTGAGTTGGCTGAGGTCTACCGAGAACAGACTGAGGAAATTGGCTTTACAGAGCAACATTTGTGGCCGAAGCGTTCCCATATCTCCTCGTGAAAGACTATTGCCGTTTAGATTGAGGTAAACTAAGCGTGGAAGTTCCAGCGCAGGTAGCCTGAGAAGGTTAGGGTAGAATGATTAGATCTTGACCCGAAATCACGGTTTTTTTAGAAAGTACGGAGCTCGAGAGATTCGAAGAAAGCGGCACTTCTCTTAATGTGGCCAATAAACAAAACGCCTTATTGTTCAAAATCAACATACCTCCTAAGTTGATTATGTGCTAAGTTGAGCGTACAAAGCGACACCAAATTGTCTAGACACGCGCCTAAAACGGTTATCTGATTCTTGTGTAAGTAGAGTACAGTTAATTGATCAGGGAACGCGGCACTGGTGATGTCTTTTAGCTTGTTGAAGCTCAGATCGAGAGTAGACAACTTAGTCATTTCCTTAACGCCCGGGGGAACACGTCGAAAATTATTATCACTCAGACCTAACCGATTGAGGTTTCGACATGCAGTTGCTAAGCCCGAAGGTAGAATTGAAAGATTGTTATTCGAGAGATCTAAAGTTCGAAGATTAAGAAATGAAGTCAAAAACTCGGGCGGCTTGAACAGCATATTACTGCGGAATGAGACTTCCTCGATACAAACATGCAATTCCCTCTGTTTGAGCTCGGCTTCAATATATGCTACTCTGGAAGGCAGCCACATATCCATCCCCGTTAAGTCAAGAGCAGAATCCTCGGCAAAATTTGCATTTGGCAGTCTGTCACTGCTGTTGGATAGAGAAGTTTTGCTGCCATCGACAGTCCTTTTGCTGTTTAACTTCTGATCGTCGACGTAAGAAAAAAGGTTTCGACAATGTAAGCTAACCTGTGGCAATTAAAATGTACTCTTAGTATTTGTTTTTTGCGTCGATCTCGCAATCTTCATATAGCGTCCATTCGAATACTTAAGCACAAAAGAGTACGAGTTTGAAGTTTAGACAACCGACCAGTCACTGACTACTACCTGATGTGCTGCTGAATTTGCCATCGATGAGGCTTTTGCTGTGGCCAATTCCAGAGATATAATGTCAGACAGATTCCGGAATAGAAAATTTGCTTCACTGTCGGCGTATATGAATCGTATCAGATGCTGTATTGCTGTGCGTCCTTGTACCTGAAGATTGTCGTCTTCGGTGTAGCCTAGATCTTGAAGCCACTGTTCCTGAATCTATATTGCACAAAGCATAAGACATGTGAGATACATTTTCTTGTGCAACTGCACATGATCGACATTTCGCTGACACACAAAAACAAAATGGATGTAGAGCAGATTTCCGAGAAAAATGAAGTTTGTCAAAAAGCAAGAAGCGAACTTAAAGGAGCAGATGCAGGCTAGTTACATTGCACGATGGCGGCACTAAGAAATTTCCAAGCTGATATCGAAAGTAACATCATAGATCAAACACCTTCAATGGCTGCTCGTCTGGATCAAGCTTTCGCGTGAAAGGGTGCAATTTGGATCCACTCTGTACATAGAGGTGATGTCCATTATTTTCAGGACTAGGATCATCCTCATCTTGCGTAGAGACATTGAACTTCCGAGCGGCTAATTTGCATAGCTTCTCACAGGAGATGTTCAGATCGGCTGTGATCGTTGTGTGTCGATTTTCATCCCGATGATATATTCTGACAAACCCCTGCACAAAACAAAATGATGATTATAGCTTTATAAGCCTACCCTCCCAACGACGTTGGCAGTAAAATCGCAAGGAAATGTCAGAGACACATAACCGCCAAAAAATAATCGGCCTCAAACGAAATATATTATTTCATGCATCTGCACCAAAGTATAGCCGCTGGCAAATCATATTTTGTGCAAATGCAGAACATACACGATTGGCAATAAAATTCCACTTGTCTGTTTCCGTGTTCTCATCTTCCACTTCTTGACCCACAAGTTGGTAGTCTTCATCGAAAGTGGGTCGTAAACGGGGCACTGGCAAGCCGATATACAACTGCCCAAATGTGTGACGTTTCGCTGCATAGAAGAGAAGAAGCAGCTCATTCAGACCGAGCAATTAAAGCGTCATTTCAATCCATTCGATAATTTTCCGAGACACCTGCCTTAGTTCATACATACCATCAGATACAAAAAGTACGCGTTTCGCCTTATGTATGCCTCTCGCTTCTATGCTGATGTGATGCCAATCCCTCAGATCATTCAGATCCGGTGCTATAAAACCACCGTGTTCGTTAATGGCGCCTGAGACACACTCCGTCAACGAGGTATGTGGGCCCAGAGTATCCAATGCGGTGATTGCCGAACCAGTCCGGTCAGCCTTGGATAACTCGGCGAGCGAGAACCGCCTACAACGCATGAACCAAATTTAAACAATGCGAACCCACTGGTGTCTCATGTATTGAACCAATCTACTGACATGATGCACATAACCAATCAAATACACGAGCTGCGTATAGGTGGCGAGTCGTTGCACAAATTCGATATTAAACACTATCTTATATTATACGCAAATTACAACATGTAAACACGTACACATACACTCGCGTAGATATGAACGCGTACGCCACAGCGATACAATATAACATATAAATATATGTGATCTAAATATACATAACAACTCTTATAGACTCATGGTATATATAAATGCATTTCATTGCAAGTATACATTAAAAAAGAAGTATGTGTGCGTATTTGGTACACAGGAACGCTGAGAAATAAATGTACATTCGAGACCATATGAAGAATTCGATATCCTTAAGGAGAGATATGGTTATATTCTCGGGCCATATACGAACACATAAATTCTTAAGGTCATTAATCTAAAACAACATGTACATGTACGTCAATTTATGCATATAATATGTACAAAAAGGTAAAATCACTTGCATAAAGATACATGTATATATATATATATATATATATATATGTGTGTGTGTGTGTGTGTGTGTGTGT